GGCCCTCGTCCTCCTCCTCTCCCTCCTTCTGGTTTCTTTCCTCCTAGAGCTCCTGTCCCTCCTCCTCCTCCATCAGCTGCTCCTATTCCTCCTCTTCCTCCTCCACCAGCTGCTCCTGTCCCTCCTCCTCCCCCTCCTCCTCCTCCTCCTGGTGCCTCTCCTCCCTCTGCTTCGCCAAGTATGCTATTAGTATTATAGTAAATTTAATGTTATTATTATTATTATTATTATTATTATTATTATTATTATTATTATTATTAGGTGTTGAGCTGGTTAGGTTACGTGAGATGGGATTCGATGAAGAAGTTGCTGAGATTGCATGTAGAAGGTACTGTACATATTGAATGATACATGTAGTACAGTACACACAGTCACACACATACACATACATGTACATGTACAGTACATTTACATATATTCAGACTCTCCAACAACTGTACATGTACATGTGTACATGTTTTAATGCCGTTTATGAAATTTGAGCTGAATTTATTCACAATTAGATTTTTTATTAATTTTTAAAGTTGTGTAATGTCTTTATGTTCCTGTGTAGGTGTGTAGTACCTAATGATGTACAAGGTGTTCAGAGACTAGACCACATTATTACGTGGATATTGGATCATCCTGATGCTGTGGCTGAAGAGAACGAGAGAAGAGTTCAGGAAGAGAGAGAGGAGGAGGCAAGAATGGCAGCAGTAGAGGCTAGAAGGAGAGCAGAAGAAGCAGCCAGACAAGAAGAGATGAATAGGAACCAACAGCAACAATCACAAACCACTGCAGCACAAGAATTCCTTTCTTCATTTGGTGTAAGTTACACATGTACATATACATGTACAATGTACTGTATATCATTATTTTTTTTTCTATTTATTTTTAGAATTTATTTGATGACGACGACGATGAAGCAGAAACTGCCCCACTTTCTAGTATTGACCACGCCCCTCTCATTCTAGGAGGACCTAGCCACACTGATGAAGGTAACATTCCTATACATTGCATGTAACACTGTATGTATCATTATTTTTAAATTATTTTTAGTTCCTAATATAAGTTTGGCTGGTTTGGATGTTACAGTCTCAAACTCGATGAGTTCATTATTACAAGCACTCGGACTCTCAGACTCAAACCCGGCCCCACCCACCTACCAATTCAAAGCTAAGAACCCAATGGGAACCCTCTTACCCTCCTCAACTAGCGAGGAGGAGGAAGAGGCCTTGCCCTCAGCAGGTACTGAGGAGGCGTGGCTAGCGATATCGCCAAAGTGCTCTGAACTGGTTGAACAGGTTATGAAACTGGTTAAACTGGATGAGTGTGTGTCTGGAAGTGAGAGATTATTAGTAGCCTCAGTAACGCAGGCTTCAAGGAGAATAGTATTAAAGCTATTATCATCCCTTTCTATTGTGACCGATGATTCTGTGATGGAGGACATTGAACTCAATAATGTACAGCATCTCATACGCTTGCTTCGTCTGGTACAGGCTAATCGTGTTGGCATGGCAACTGAGAGAGGGGAGGAGCTTAAGGAAGTGATTGGATCAGCTATTACTAGTATTGTTAGTAAGAGTAGAGTAGGAGGAGCTGGAACACAATTACTGCAAGTAATGATAATAATAATACCATTAATACTGTATACATGTAGATGCATGTACTACTTAACTTTTGAGGAACAGAACTTTCATGTTTAGTATGCAACTGTGAAATTAAAGCTCCACAAAGATATACATGTATTCAATTAATGAGCATTGCAAATTGCTATATAAATTATACTTTTTAACCACGAACAAAAGTTCAGCCTTATACAGTAACAATGGATAAAATTATCCCCCTTCTCCCACATTCCTTGTTCTCTTCTCTTTCTTTTATCTGTTTTTTCTTTCTCTCTCTCTCTTTCTTTCTTTCTCTCTCTCTCTCTCTCTCTCTCTCTCTCTCTCTCTCTCTCTCTCTCTCTCTCTCTCTCTCTCTCTCTCTCTCTCTCTCTCTCTCCTCAAGGCTTGTTCTCGTGATCTGTTAGCTGCTGCGGTAGGAGGTTCTCAGATATTATCAAAGACTAAAGTCACTGATAAAGAGTCAACTGATCTCACTGTATTGACTAATCCTAGCTTCTCTGTTAGTAAGAGTTTAGTACAGACACTAACACTAGCAGTTGGGAATATACACAACAGGTTAGTATGTATACCTGTAAATGTAGATGTACAAATGTACTCAATAATACCTACATGTAAATATATACCGTATTTCCTCAAATAAGTGCCTGGCATTTATTGCTTAACAATCACAAAAAATCACAAAAATGAAATAAAAAATGCCTAAACTCAGATACATGTATGAACCCATGACTTTGTAATCTTAGGATTGCAGATATAAACAGTTACATAGACCACTCTAGCATAATACTGGGTAAAATAAATTTATAGTTGTTAAAATTAGTAATAGGCATTTATTTGAGTAGAGTCCAAATACAGTAATTATCCTTAATATAGTACCAAATGCATAATATTTTCACCGTATGAATTAGCAAAATTTTTGTAAAAATGATAATTTCACTTTCACTAATTGAAATTAACAGTGTAAGGAGATCGTTTCTGAGTATAAATTTTCTTATTTAATTAATGTTTGAGGGTATATGTCTAGCAGTATAGCTTTATTTTTTTAACTTCTAATAATAGGTTATAACATGAAATTGTTTTAAGTGCTTCAAAATACATGATTTACAAAGTATCATCTTGTAGCCATTTAAGTAATAATGAAATATCAGATTGGTCATTAATCGTAGGACCATGATTGTGTTCAACATCTCCTGATAAGAGGAGGACAAGCAATCAAATAGAGATCATTGTAGAAGTAGAACTGCTGCCTTGACAGTCCAATACTTGTTCTCCACTGAAAAGCATAATTTATCTTGTATACTGTATAGTGGTTGGAGGTTAATTTCGCTCTCAGTTTTTTTGGAATGAAAATGGCTGCTCAAAACAAAAAATTTCTAATCCTTTTTAGAACAAACATTTTCCCAGACAAAATTTACCTGCTATAATTATAGTATAAAATTATAAAGAGTCTGACAAGTTAAGGAATGTAGCACTTAACAGTATAACCTGCTATTGTGGATGCTCTAAAATAAGGACAGCTCTATACATGTGTAATCACTAATCAGGACAGGTAGTATCAGTCCCAACTCCCAATACAATATAAATATTAATGAACCTCTGAAATAAGGCTTCCATTATCAATACAGTATTATTGGGTCCCAAGGTGTTGGTTTGACTGTACATGTATGTTCTATCAGAAGTGTATAAGCATAAAAATATTCCTATAATTGTTTTCACCACCTTGCATGCATAGCTGGGTTCTTGTTAAGACTTATAGAGGTTCTCTCTACCTTCAAATGCTTCTAGAGAAGTCCTTGAGCAGTATCTCTATCTTCTCTTGCTGATAGAAAGCTCATAACTTTGTCCCGTGTGTAATTGGCCATTTCATAAATATCAGAGATACATGTAGATAGAGTACCTTAGGAGACATTATTAGCGTGTACTTATTTCATCGATTTCATGATACTGACATTTGACTGGTATTTAATTTAGCATTCTGATCATTTAATATTAATAACTATTAATAATTTAATTGAAAATTAAAGTTAGCGCAGACTTAAGTTAGTGATTTTTTTTAATGCAAAAATTCACTTAATTAAATACCCATAATCAATTGTCTCAAGCTTAAGGTACATAATACCTAAAATATATAATGCACTTTACGTGAAGGGCGTGGGCAGGTGGTTACTAAGGCCTTTCAATTTGTTGTTTCTCCAATACAACACGTGTAGAAGAAGTTTAAGTGTTGACATACAATTATACATTGCACCTGGGTTATAGGAATGATCTAGAGGCTATGCCCCCAGGTCGTAATAATAGTACCAACTTCACTGGTGCTGCTCTTATTTTGTTTTGATGTCATGCTTTTAAGAATAATATTTTATTTATTTTCTAATATACAATAATAACAACTACTTTACCAGCCGTACTGTATTTTGTTGAGTTATGAAGTATCACTCAGAGATGAAGAACCAGTTGAAAATATTCCTGAATCAATACTGTGATGTGTTTGTTTCCTACGTGATTGGAACTTAAATATGACAATATCATCAACTATATCTTTAGTTTTGGCTAATGTTAGGGCAGTACTACCATTATTTGCTTGAATGTCTGGATTAGCTTTCCGTGTCAATAACAATTTAACTATCTCCTTATGACCATTAGCACTCGCAATCATCAATGGTGTATATCCTTTCCTGTCTTGAATGTTGGGATTAACTGCTACCTTTAGTAGTGTTTTTATTAATGCTGTATTGTCCTTTGTTAAAGAAAAATCAATACCGGTATCATATCTGACCGGACTGATCCCACTTAGCAACAGCTCAACTATTTGAGTATGACCATTTTGACAAGCCAACATTAAAGCATTGACTCCATCTTTCCCTTGAACATTAGGGCTGACATTTTTCTTCAGTAAAATTTCAACTATTTGAGTGTGGCCATTTTGACAAGCTAGCATAAAAGCATTCACTCCATCTTTCTTTTGAACATTAGGATTCACTTGTTTCTTCAGCAACAGTTCAACTATTTGAGTGTGACCATTTTCACAAGCCATCATAAAGGCATTCCCTCCATCTTTCTTTTGAACATTAGGATCCGCTTGCTCTTTCAGCAACAGTTCAACTATTTTAGTGT